ATAAAGATAAATACTTGAACAAGAGGGAAGGAGGGAGGTGGGGCAGGGAAAGGGAAGGGAAGGGGAAAGTCAAGGAACATATATCAAGGACTCATGGACAAAACCAAAGGGGAAGAGCTGAGGGAGGGAAGGAGGGAGAGGGCAAGGGAAAGTGGTGGGGGGGAGGCAGAGACAAATGTATTTAAAGAAGAAAGAAAGAAAGGAAGGAAAGGAAGGAAAGAAAGAAAGGAAGAAAGGAAGAAAGGAAGAAAGGAAGAAAGGAAGAAAGAAAGAAAGAAAGAAAGAAAGAAAGAAAGAAAGAAAGAAAGAAAGAAAGAAAGAAAGAAAGAAAGAAAGAAAGAATAAAAAAAGATAAATACTTGAAATAAATCTAATAATGTGTAAATTTTGTATCAGAAACCTATAATATATTGTTGAGAGAAATTAAAGAAGACAAATAAATGGAGGGATACGTGTTTGTGGATTGAGACTAAATATTGAAAGATGTTTATTTTCCTGTGAAATTATCTATTGATATAATGCAATCCTGATAACAAATGCCAGTAATGTTTGTTTTGTGGAAATTGCTAAGGTGGTTTTAAAATTTATATGAAAATATCAAGGGCCAAAAATAGCCAGGGCATGTTGAACAAAAACAAAGTGGCAAGTCTACTGGATATAAAATTTTATTATAAAGCTACATAATTAAAATAATGTGGCATTGGCACAATGTTAAATACATAATGGAGTGGTTAGAAATGACACTTGATTTTTGAAGATTACACTGGAGAGCCATGAATAAATGGTGGTCCTTCCAATTAATGTTGCTGGGTCAAGTGGATACCCATATTAAAATATAACAATTAATCCTTAACTCATAGCATACACAAAAATCAATTTCATGTATACTGTAAGTCTCAAGATAAAAGTTAAAATCATAACAGTTACAGAAAATCACTAAGGAGAATATTTTCATGATGTGGGAGTTAGGGGAAGTTTTCTTTATCAAGATACAGAATAAATATCACTAATCATTCAGGGACAGATGAATAAATTGAGTTTCCTAAAATTAGAGATTTCTGCTCATCAAATGGCACAATTAAGCAAATTAAAAGGCAAGTCAAAAGGTGAGAGAAGATATCTGTAACACAGGTAGCATCTTGTATGCAGAATATATGAATAATTCCTTCCAACCAGTCAGTAAAAGACAGGAAACCCAATAGAAAAAAACTAGCATTTCATAAAAAGAATGTTCAATAAACTATGAAAATATTCTCATTTTCAATAGTAATAAAGAAAATGCAAATTAAAACCACATCACTCCCAGCAAAATTACAAAAATGAAAAAAACAGTGATGGTAAAAATGTAAAGTAATTGTGATTCTCATGCATTGCCAATGAGAGAGTAATGTGGCACAGCCACTTTGAAAAGCTATTTGGCATCCTACTGAAACTGAACATATGCATATTCTATGACCCAGGAATTTTACTCCTGTGTATATAACCAATAGATATACATACACATGTGCACCAACAGACATGTACAAGAATATATTTTAAAAACATTATTTATGAAAGGTGAAAATTTAAAACATCCCATTCCATCAATGATACAATGAATAGTATATAAATCCTTATATATTTATAAAATGCAAATCACAAAACAGTGAAAATTAATAGACTGCTATATGCGGCAAAAATGGATTAGTTTCAAAAATACGTTAACCAAAATAATTGATAAACAGATATGGGGGGACCCCAAAAAATGGAATTTATTTATAAAAAATTATGTATTTATATGTTTAAACTTCAGTCACCTTCAAAGTACTCTCCATTTGATACAATACACCCATTGCAATGTGTTTTTCCCACTGCTCAAAACAGTTTTTTTATTGTTGTTCAGTTATAGTTGTCCCTCTTTTTTTCCCACTGCTCACCCCACCCCATTCCCTCCACTCCCAAAGTCAATCCCCCCAGCATTGTCTGTGCCCATGAGCCCTCTATTCATGATCCTTGGCTTGAACTCATTGATTTTTATGCCTTTTCGTGCTCCTGCCATTTTTTGATTCACCTCCTCCACATCGGCAAAACACTTCCCTTTAAGGACTTTCTTCATCCGGGGAAACAAAAAAAAAAAGTTGCTTGGGGTAAGACTGGGTGAATAAAGAGGGTGGAGTACAGGGTTATGTCGTTTTTGGTCAAAAAATTGTTGAACAGTCAGTGCAGTGTGGGCAAATGCATTGAAAGGGTCTTCAAAAATAATTCACTGAAGCCCAATGCAGCCTCTCACAACAATGCCAGTTGGTACACCAATGCAGATGGGTTCCTAGAACACTCGCCTAGTAGGGGAAGCCTGTACCACAAGGGGACTGCCCTCCAGAAGATAATTCTGGTTTGTTGTTTTGTTTTTTGTTTTTGGTCCCTCCTCATACACACTGTACATTTGATTTATATAAAGTACAGACAGTACCTGATTTACAATGTTTTCACTTACGATTTTTCAACTCTACAATGGTACAAAAGAGAAACATATAATAAATTACATGAGATATTCAACACTATATTATAAAATAGACTTTGCGTTAGATGATTTTACCCAGCTGTAGGCTAATGTAAGTGTTCTGAGCACATTTAAGGTAGGCTAGGCTAGGCTATAATGTTTGGTAAGCTAGGTGCATTACATGCATTTTCAACTTATGGTATTTTCAACTTCCAATGAGTTTAGCTGGATGTCACTTCATTGTAAATTGAGAATTAGCTGTATAAAAAATTAAAGCTAATCTATGGTGTTAGCAGCATAGCGATTATAGTTTGGAAATAAAAAGGGAGCAGTGATTAGAATAAGAAAGGCTTCTGGGGTGTTAATGATGTTTGATTTCTTCACTAGAGTGATAGTGACGCAGAAATTATGATAATTCAACAAGCTGTACACCAGTGCTTCTCAACCTGGGTGAATTTTGCTCCTCAGGGGATATGTTTGGAGGAAATTTTCACTGTCACAATTGGAAATGGGGAGCGGTGTTATTGGCATCTACTGGGTAGAGACCAGAGATGCTGCTAAATGCCTACAGTGCATTGGAAAAAATCATTTTGCCCAAAGAAAAAGAATATAGATGACTAAACTCAGTTTAGAAAAAGAATACAAACATGACAAAGGCTATGTTGCAACCCATATGTTAATGATTCAAACAGTGTTCATTTCCCCCAGATCTGATAAAGGATGTTTGCTAATCAGGGAGTGGAAGTACTGAAAAGAATTTACTTCTGTGGAACAAAGTATTAAAGATGGTTACTTAAATAAATTAATGTATCCAAAGAAAGTAATAAAATAACTTAATAGGCTCATTTCTTAGGAAGGATTTATCTCATTCCAACATTGAAACATAGCATGAATTGCTCATTTCAGGATCGCTTTTATGAAAAAATACAGGCAAAATAACATCAGCTAAATAATGCAATCGCTGCCCTGTCTAGTGTGGTTCAGTTGGTTGGGCGGTGTACTGCAAAGTGAAAGGTCACTGGTTCGATTCCTGTTCAGAGCCCATGCCTAGGTTGTAGGTTCGGTCCCCAGTCAGGGCACATATGAGAGGCAGCCAATCAATGTTTCTTACATTGATGTTTCTCTCCCTGTTTTTCTCCCTCTTTTCCCTTCTCTCTAAAAATAAAACAATAAATAAAACCTTAAAAAATAATGCAGTGTTCATAGCAGCACAATTTACAACAGCCAAGTGCTGGAAGAAACCTAAGTGCCCATCGGTAAATGAGTGGATCAAAAAACTGGTACATTTACACAATGGAATACTACACAGCAGAAAGAAAGAAAGAGCTAGTACCCTTTGCGACAGCATGGATGGAACTGAAGAACATTATGCTAAGTGAAATAAGCCAGGGGGCAAAAGACAAATACCAAATAATCTCACCTATAAGTGGAACCTAACCAACAAAACAAACATGCAAGGAAAATATAAACAGCAACATTGAAGGAAAAAAGAAACCAACAGAATCAATAGGGAAGGAGGGAGGCGGGTGGCAGGGATAGGGAAGGGAAGGGTCAAGTCAAAGAGCATGTACAAAGGACCCATGGACCAAGCCAAAGTGGGGAAGGATTGAGGGAGGGAGGTGGGGGAGTGGGGAAGGGGAAAGTGGTGGCGGGAAGGTGGAGACAAATGTATTTGAACATAATAAAAAAAAATAATGCAATCACTGAATATAGGAATCCTCAATAGAACACAGTAGCTCTTATTCAGAGAAGATGGAAATGGAATGCCACTCAGTCTTACTACTAAACTACTCACTTTCCTCCTAAAGTAGCCTCTTAATGCCTGTAAGAGGATGTGTCAGTTGGCGGGGGAATAAACCTAACCAAATGAAACCAAACCAAACCAACCTGAAGTGATTCCAGCATCCCACTCTGACCCCCACCTCAACCACAGGTAACAGAGATCGACACAGAGTTGCCTTAAGATGAGATTATTATGTACTCCCGGAGTAGAGGACATGAAGGGACCTTGGGAGGGAGAAAACTTACTGGTTGATTCAGGGGGATACCTCTCAAAAACGTGGAATTTGGTAGGCCTCGGGAGTAGTAGAGACCACGTCATGGTTTAGACTCCAGTTTAACTGAACTTAGAACACAATGATTCTTGACTTATACCCAGATTGGCATAGTGAAACCTATGACTGCTATCCTCCAATAGACTAAACACAGAAGTGAATGAGAAGGTTTTGTCCGTTCACCCTTTCTCAAGAACTAGGTTGGCAAGAAATTCAGGAGTTACTCCAGTTACATCCCTCAACTGATGTGGGGAGAGCAGCCTGGTATTTCATATTTACCTTACCTGTCACCCCAAACATCTCAATGTCCCAGGGTAATTGTACCTTCTGAAAAGCCATGTACAGCCAAGTGGGGCTCTAATAGAAGACAGCTCCTGGATGGTTTTCAAATGCAGAAAGAGACCTTGTTCTGTGAAGTTTCTAATTTTACTATAAAGCCATAGTGTTTAGAAATTCAAGAAACTCACGCGACTTTGGCACAGACAGTGCACTTCCAGCTGCCATCAATGCCTGACACCCGACACTCGCTGCACACTCTAAGCGAGCAAGCCTGGCATGGGTCTCCCCGGTCAAATATTAAGCCCAGGTTTTTCTGACAGTGAACACAGACTCTGCTTGTCTCTTGTTGAGTCTTCCCACTTCTACGTTTTGCTTCTATGAGTTCATTTTTAAGTTTCCTGAAAGGAGAGAGAATAATCACTTAAAAAAACAAAATAAAAAAATCACTTGAGGAGCTGAGATATCTTTATTTAAAAGGTATTTTCATTAGGAAAAACATTTAAAATAATCAAGAAGTCAGAGTCAAATACTTTCAGAAAACACAATTTCTTTCTCCAGAATCAATGATTTTTTTGACATCAGTAGTTGAAAAACATGTTTTACTTTTGAATTTTGACATCCTTTACTAGCAATACTAGTTTGCTATCAGTATTTATTCACATTGCACTCCAACTTCTCTGAGATCTTTGATAACATAATATTGGAGCACAACCCCAGCCTAGAGGTCTGCACAATATCATGTTCTTTACTTGTGTGGATATACTTACTACATGAGGAAAAAGTGTGAAATCAAACTTGGGAACATGGGACCTTTCCTTAGATGATCCAATGAAGAGTTTGTTACAAAGGCATTGCCTGCCATTTCAGATCTGAATGCTTCTTCTTACTATTTGAGGGTTTCCAACAATTTCCTTTGTCCGATGGGCTTTGCTGTCAGACATGCTTGTTTGAATTCAGGTTTTATCATAAATATAGCTGTCCAACTTAGACAATGATTTACACACTCAACCTGAGACTCTTCATTTCTAAAATGGGGGTAATAATATTCATATTATTATTGTATTATTTTCTGTTTTCAAGATTAAATGACATAATATATGTAAAGGTACCAGCACAATGCTTGGTACATAGGTACTAAAGAAATGTTATTTCCATGTCCCTTCTTTTACTACCTGACATGTCTATTTATATGTACTTTAGAAAATAACTATTCAGTGTGGTCCTTGTTCTGGAAATATCAGCATCATCTGGGAGCTTGTTGGAATGCAGAATCTCAGGCCCCACTTAATACCTGCTGGATCAGATTCTGCATTTCACAAAATCTCCAAGTGATCAGTGTTTGAGAAGTACAGCTTTGGAATATTTGGTCTCAAATTTGGCTATGTACTGGAATCAACTGGGAAGATTCTAGTTGGACAAAAAATTATACTGATGCCCGAGCCTTATCCCACCCACCCCCATTCTGATATAATTGGTTTCAGATGCAATGATGTTTTAAAGGTATCTTTATTTATTTTATATATTGCCAAATTTGGAAAACACTATTGTAGATGACAGGTTAATTCCACTTAAATGCTTCACAGACATGCCATTCCCTTATACTATTCATATCCAATCCTTTCTTCAACATAATATTTGTATGATCTCTCTCTCTCTCTCTCTCTTTTCACACACACACACACACACACACACACACACACACACACACATCCCAGAGTTATTCCACATATCTCATACCATCTCCTTTTACATTTGTGGACCTGTACTTTGTTTTACCCAGCGAGACTAGCATCTCCCCAGAGGCCAGTACAATGACTTCAGCTTCTTGTATATACTGCTCAAGAACCAATTCTGTTAAAGTATAAGGTACTTAAATGTTTAAAACTATTTATGATCTCTTTGGAGCCTTCAAACCAACTTGTAAGGTATTATGAGTTTCCTATTAAAGATTGTAGACAGTATAAATAAAGCTAGAAACCAGGTCTTTTAATTCCTAGCCTAATGAGAGATTCATAAATGGGAAATTATATAAGTGAAGAGTAGGGTTTCCAAAACCTTTGATTGTTTCACTAATTCCTTCAATGAGCATTTATTAAATGCCTATTGTGTACCACAGCATTCTGATATTCAGACGGGAAAACAAGTCAAGCAGGACATCTACTAAGGATTCCCATTATCCTTCATGTTAGTCTAGAAAAGGACAAATGATGCAAGATGATTCATATGTTGCAACAGGTATTCTTAAGTCCTCACTCTTCTGTCTATCTAAACACAAATGACAACATCATATAATGCATGTTTTCTTACTCTCTGATTTAAAGCTAAGAAAGTAACCTCATGTTCTTTTCTCCATGAGCAACTGGCTCATGAAATTAAGTGTAAGAAAAGCTCCACACAATTTACATTTTGAAACTTGTAAAAGTTACACACTTTAAAAAAATTGTTGTTCAAGTACAGTTGTCTCTATTCCCCCCCCACCACTTTCCCCTTTCCTGCCCACCCCCACCCTCAATCCTACCCCCCTTTTGATTACAGTACATTTACACAATGGAATACTACACAGCAGAAAGAGAGAAAGAGCTGCTACCCTTTGCGACAGCCTGGATGGAACTGGAGAGCATTATGGTAAGTGAAATAAACCAGGCAGTGGAAGACAAATACCATATGATTTCACCTATAAGGGGAAACTAATCAACGAAACAAACAAGTGAACAAAAGACACTGAAATAAAGAAGAAACTGACAGTAACCAGAGGGGAGGGGGGAAGGGAGTAACGGGGAAAGAAGGAAGTGCTGTCAAGGAACATGCATAAAGAACCCATTGATAAAAGCTACACACTTTTAAAGAAGAGAACATGTTCTCATTTTAAGACCACAACTGTATCATTTGAAGCACAATAGACATTTGAACACCTCAGGGCACAGAAGAAATAAAACATTGCCTATTCAAACTCTATAACAATTTGTGCAATAATGATAAGGAAACAAAGTGATCAAAATGAGCAGAACAAAGATAGCAGTCCTAGACAGCAGGACTATCAGAGTAGGCTGGGGTGGCTGGTGGAGGGGAAGAGTAGGAAGCTGAAAAAATGGGGTATTCCAGGATTTTCCAGAGGCAAATTCTCCTCTGAGGAAAAAAAGTAAACTCTATAATCAGCTGCCTTAAGTTAAACTTCTTAAAGTAGAGTGAGGCCACTTAGAGAATATATGGTCATGAAGACAAATATTTATATTCCATCTTTCTTTGCACTCTATGACATGATTTTATTTAGCAATCAGGTTTCATACATTTCACTTAGTTCACAGTTCTGGAGCCTAAAAAGACTTGTGGCTCTGTATAAATCAGGTCACGGAGAAGAAACAACTTAAAGGTCCAAACACACTATCTGGGGAATTCCTAAGGCAACTGGTGTAATTGGGCCACATGTTCTGAAAGCTATCTTTAAGACATGTGAGAAGATTTCCATAGATTGGCACAAACTATTAAGCAGCTTACTGATTTTTCAAATATCTCTAAGAAATTGACTTAATTCAATCATGTTTAGGATAATTCACATGAAGTAGATATAGCCATTTTCAGACACTCAAGAAGAGGGTAAAAGAAGTCCATCAAAACCAGGAAAAGAAAGTGTGAAGTTGGAGAATTAGTACCAAGGGGAAAGGTAAGTCCAGGAAGCTAGAAGAGAGCAATAAAATGGGCAGTATCTCTTCCCTCTGTTTTACTAGCCAGCACTAACAAAGCAAGATGGACCTTGTGTGTTCCAGCATTGCTGGCCCAGTATTAGGAACTGCATGAGGAAGGTGAGTTTCTGGGCTGTTCATCTCTGTCATACACAGAAGCTACAAATGCTTCTAGTTCCAAATAACAGGCTTAAATTATTGGTTTCATTCCTCCCCCCTCTCCCGACACGCATGACCAGAAATCCAGAATGAGCAGTTGTTTGCATTAATTCAGCTGCAAAATCAGGTTATTAAGGATTTCTTTCATCCTGCTGATCCCATATTTTCAAGGTGTGGCTTATCATTCTTAAGCAAAATGCCCTGGCAACTCTAGCATAGTGTACACTTTTAAGGTGGCAAGAAGTGGAAAAAGAGGTCACTTAAACCTGTCTCTTAACAGAAAAGTAAAAATGGACTGGAAGCGCTCCCATCATTACCACTAGCTTTTCAACTTGTTCCAGTTTCATAGCTCCAAGAGAGGCTATGAAACTGGAACAAGTTGAGACTGAACATTCCTACCCTCTTGACATTAAATGTGGTCATGTGATTGACATAAGATATGGTCATGTGACTGGCATCAATTCATGAAATGTGGCATGGGATTCCAGATAAAAAAGCAAATGCTTGGTTTTCCACATGCCCTCCTCTTTGCACAGAGTATCGCAATGCCTCAAATAAGTAAGTATGGGTCTTGATCTGAGGATGCCATGCAATAGAGTCCCATCTATCGTGTTATGGATATGTGGCATGAAAAACAAACTTTCAATGTGTTAAGCCACTAAGAATTTGAGGCCATTATTGCAGCATCACTTAGCCTATCCTGACTGATAAACATACAAGCCTAGCCCTCCATCTGGCTGGCTCCCATATATCCTTTTTATTTCAGCTTCACTGCTGCTTCCCCAGTGAGGCTTTCTCTGATTGCCAAATCTACAGCAGATTCCTGTCTTATACTCACTCATAGAACTGTGTTCTTTTTCTTCACAGCACATATCAAAAATTTTAACTATATCTTTATTCAGCTGTTTTTAACTGGTTTGTCTCACCAACTCCTCTGTAATCTCCAAGAAGACAAGGCCACACGTGTGTGGTACGTGTGTGTTTTGTTCAGCTTTGTATTTTACCACACATAAGCAGTGTCTGGAACATAATGGATAGCATTTAAATGAATGAATAAAATAAAGCATAAGTAAAAGCTAACAAGTGACAGAAGAGAAAGAAAGAGGGAGGGGAGGAAACTCAGCCACACTGCTTAATGGGTATCACTGGGCACTACATTAACCTTTCTGGGTCTCAGCTACTTCAACTTCAAAATGAAGATAATTCCTTTCCTATCCTCCTCTGGGGGTGTTTGTGATGGCCAGAGGTAATCAAGTATGGTAGTATGCTTTGTGGATTATAGAGGCGTTTAGAGTATGAAGCCATCATTATGAAAAAGAGAATGAGAAGATAAAAAATGTACAATGTTGGATCCACTAGGAATAAAGTCAAATTATAATTGGCTTAAACTGAGATAAAACACCCTTCAAAAAATTAATACAAGCCTGAAAAAAACTACAGAATGTTCCCAAGTACTTGATAAGAATTTCTAGAACTTTTTTCATTTTCCTTAACCTCATTCCTACACCCTTGCTCAGTAGGCAAAACTATTTTGATTCTTGAAAATATAAAAAAAATCT